AGGGGCAGAGAATTAAATTAGAGAGAGAGACAAACATAGATGAGAAATGTTAGAGAGAGTTTGAACTTCTAAAATAAATGCTTGGACATTAAATGGGGGTGAGAGTTATGATGTCTGCACTTGGGTGCCCCAGTCTTGCGTCCAAATCCACTTCTCACCCTTTTGTTCTCTCAAAAAAAAGAAAAAAAAATGCATACATATGATACTTGATAGAAGTCAAGTGAGAAAGAGATATATAGAGAGAACTAAGGAGTACATATCTTTAGAGGGAGAGAGAGACATGGATGGGAGAGAGACAAGGATAAAAGAAAGAGTATAATTAAGAAATGGTGTACTAGCATTAGGTTTCTAAATTCTTGCATGGTCATGATACTTAAGAAATGGTAAACTGGGGTTGTGAACTGAAACCTTACTGGGAAAAGTGGGACCAATTGGAAGCTCATTGAGCTTATTTGGGACCAATCGGGGGTTGATTAGAGTTAATTAGGTAACTAGGGTTAATTGGGCCTTAAAATTGATGGTTAGGCCGATTAAGGAATCTAAGAGGCTAAGTAGAGGAGATTAAAGAACTAATTGCTCTTCCCTGAGTAGAGTTATTTATAGTTTGAGATCAGGGTAGGGCAATTTCAATCACTGGCTTGATCAAATTGTGTGAACTCATGCAGTATTTTGGCTTAGAACACTTCAAGAGACATCCAACACATTTCTCTAAGTGTTGAATTGCATGGAATAGATGTCTAGTACAATGTGTGGTGTATATGGCACACCTTGTGCAGTATCCATTAAATAGTTTACCAAATTGATCTGTTTTCATTTTTGGAACTGTGTGGAAATCAACTGTAACACTTTAGATTTATATGACACATGGATTATTAGAAAGCTTGTTTAATTTAATCCACTAAGGTGTTGATTTGTGAGTATTCAGTTAATTCGGGCCCTAGTGCGGATATGTGGAATATATGAGTGTGCCCTAGTGATCATAAGATGAAATGAACCAGATTTCAGATGTCTAAACTTGCTCCTCTTTGATGTTTACTCAATACTATGAGTTGACTGAATGTGAAAGAAATAGGCACCTGCAGGATATGCCATGTATGATATATTGTTCATAGGCATATCCGGAAAGAATAATCTACATTCTCCCCTCTCAAATTCATGTGCAAAGTAAGGAAAACCTAAGTCTGGTCAAATTACGATTTGCACAAAATAGATCTTGTGAATTGCCAGCCGCAAGGTAGATTTCACCCAGAAGTCTTAAACAAATTAATAGTTTCGTACTTTTTCAATAAAACTATGGGGAAATTATCATATATATCCCCGTCACGAACCTATTAGGTCCGTCGAGCCTTTAAACCCTACCCAGCCCCATTTTTCTCTGGTTGTGCGTCTCCCTTCCTCATCCCCTCTACGACCCGTAGCCCTCACTCTATGTGGTCTCTCTCTCTATGAACCTCAGTTTTCCATTGTTGCTACTCTCTTCTATCTCATTCACACTGATGCTACACTCTCTCTCTCATAAGTTCTCAGTTTTTAAATGATGTGACTCTCCCTCTCAAAGTTCTACATTAAGTGCAAAAAAGTTCATTTTGTTTCGTGGATCACCAACACTAATCTTCCAATTAAAAGCAGAATTGGTGGCTTTTTCTTTCAAAATCTCCCCTTATTTTCCCATTAATTATATTTGTGAACATGAGATGGCAGGAGCCAAGAATAATGCCTTTTGTTAAAGGCCGTTACATTGACCCTTCTTAAAATCTAAATCCAAATCCAACTTCTTCCACTTTTTTTGGCCCTCGACAATAGGAACAACCCACTTCATTTAACTAGAAGGGCATATGCCATGGTCCAAGGGAATTCCAGTAAGGTTCCATCAGTCACCACTCTATTAGAGCTATGGCTAGGCTGTCATGGACATACTAAATTTCCTGAGCATGGTTTCCAATTGTTATAGACTTGCGATGTCCATGACGGCCTCGATGCTATTACTAAATTTGTACTATGGTTTTCAGCTGTGAATGCTCTATTACCTGCCATTCCGGTGAGCTTTCCATCCACCACATCTGGGGTGGGGGTTTCAAAATGAGTCATGGACCTAATAGCACCATGACGGGGTGAAAGTGTTATTTTGAAAGACTAGATAGACTTTGGGTATTAAACGAAGAATATAAGTCAATCTGAAATAAAGTAAGCTTTAAGGGTATATCTGATAATTTTCTCAAAAATAAATGATCGGTGGAAAATGAGTCCCCTATCTATAGTAGAAATGGAACTCAAGAGATTACCTTGCGGCACTATGCCACCTTGACCACCAAGCCTTGAACACTTTCCGAATATATTTGATTATTAAAAAGGTAGATTTCAAGGTCCGAATGGATCAAAAAGTATATGAGACTACGGCTAGGGGCATATCTAAGTTTTTCTAGGGTTTCTAGCTGAATTAGGATTTGTAAGACCTAAATTATGGTTTTAGATGCCTAAGGTCAAGGTAAGGTCTTCTGGATAGGGGAAAGCATGAGGAATTAGGCCATTCCTTGTTTTTCTCTAAAACTACATACTGAAGGGTATTTATAGAGCAACCTGGGTTAGTTTCTGGATCAAAACTACCAACTCTTGTATTCATCTAATTCAGAATGCTTTTAGAAGCTCGTATGGGTTGATGGGACATTACATGCGACTCAAACCCCTTGGAAACCTAATGTTCATCCCACTGAGCATTTTTTGGGATATTTCCTTTTGTGATGGCGATCCTTCTCTACTCTTAATGTTTAGTCGATCCTTCTTTGGTCTCTCATGAATTTTCCTCCTGCAACTTACTCATAAATTTAGGGAACATTTAGGGGGTGCATAAGGTTTTTCTCTTAATTTTGGTTTTCTATACTTCTTGACCCTCTAATTTTGTATTCATTCCTCCTTGAAGAGTAATTCAATATTCATGATATTCCATTATCATTATGCATTCATCTCGGATTTAGGTAGCATTATTATCTAGAGTACATATTTCATAAGAATTTCATCTTGAAGCTTGCCAGTCTATTGTAACATAGGTTCCACAATATTCTGCAATTTCTTTAAAAACAGCTTGCAACCAGGAGCGCAAGAGGAACCCATGGCCCCGATTCAAATACTTTGTTATAGAAAAACCTTGAGGATTGCAATTTTAAGACTCGTTTCTCTCTTTAGTGATTATTTCCAAGCTTCCCTGACCAAAAAAATGAAAAATAAGGGCAGGGTTCCTCGCAATCAATTGGATGCAGTGTTGGAAAAATCAAACCGGAACGGTTAACTGGCTATGGCACGGTTCAACCGGCCTAACTTGTAAACTGGCTAGTTCAACTATTCTAACCGGCTAATCTCAAGCAGTTAAAAAAGTCTTAAAACAATAAAAATTACAAAAAACCTATTAAAATATGAGATATGTATTTAAAGAAGGGAAGAGTTTATATAAGGTTGCAACCTTAAAATGTAGAATCATAAATGCACCTCAAAAATCTATCTGGAAAGGCTGTTTTAATGTTGAAAAACCCTATAATTGATCATCTCAACATATGCATGAATATTAAAAAAAAAAAACGTTATTGAGTCCCAAAAAAAGTGCATCTTGCAACATATTATCTAGACCGTCCATTTTCAAGATTTTCATATGTTTATAGATCTACTTGATTTTAGCCATTTTTTTAGTTTAAAATTTCTTAATTAGATATGAAAATAGTTTTTAAGATAATCCTAAAAACAATTTACAACAAAATTACATGTTATAATAAAATTTGGAGGTGCGCCTTAATTGGATTGTTTAATGTTGCAACCTTATAGAAACCGCACCTTTTAAAGAATGATTAAACAATGCACATCCAAATGAATTTGAAAATTAACGAAAAATAAATTTTAAATAATTGATTTGTGCTCAGAAGCATTTTGAAATTTTCTAAAAACGATGAGAAAATGTAAAAATAAATTTTAATGGCAAAAGTAATTTTCAATTTTTGCTATAATGATGAAAACATTAAAAATAAAATTCTTGAATTCACTACTAACTTTTTATGGTTGTATTAGTCATTTTTTTCTTCCCTAATATTTGGATTAGGAAATAATGGAGAAATGGATTTTATTTTGGTGGCCTATTTCAGCCAAAAATTACCAGGAAAAGAAAGTTCTCTTCCTCCAACAAAAAATGAGAGGCTACCTCCAATATTCCAACAAAAAATTAAAGAAAACAAGAAATTTCACAATAATGAGCTTTTTATGAGCAAAATTGGAGCCTACACTACTATTATGCCAAAACAGAATGCTTTTCTGGCCAAGAATGATCTTCTTCCAGTTTTCCAGCAAAGAATGAAGAGTCTCCCTATCTTGCTCTTTGGATGCAAATCACATCCATTTACATTGACAATGCACATTGCGTGGACAGCACAGCAACATGTGCATCCTAACGCACCAAAAATCGGCCCAAATTTTAACTCCTCGTTTAATATTCAAGTGCTTCAAAATTTAACTATATTTTTATAATTGGATTTTCGATCAAGAGTTTAATAGGTCAACAATCTCAACCACCGCCGTCATGAATCTAAAACCCAAAAACAAATTTCATATTTTAAAATTAGATACTTTAAACTTTGTTTTATGCTCATTGTTTTTTATTCCATTCACATAAAGTATTTTTTAGATTTAAATTCCATTTTCTTTTCATATTCATGATCATATGGGGATATGATTAGGGCTGGCAACAAGCCGGGCAGCCAGGCCCAACCCTAAAAAACGAAGGCCTGGCCACGAACTTGGACACAAGGGCTGCGCTAGGCCAAATTCAATCCAGCCCATTTCACTTTTTTTTTTTAGCCTTTTTTTGGTCTAACACGACTTTCTCTTCTGTGTAAAGAAGGGCCATAACCCGGTACTGGTCCTGCCTAAACAAGGTCCCGGGAGGGGGGGTTGGAAATAGTCTTAACTTTTGGCTTATGCATAAAATGACCGCTCTCAAGACTCGAACCTCTACATGTAAGAAATGGACTGGAACTTGCAATTTTTTCCTTAATAAGAGTGAACCTTCCGTACACCTACCTTCATATGCATAAGGGGGACCTCTTTGGTACAAAACTAGTAAACAAACAAGGGAAAAAACTTACCTTGCAGACAAAACCTCCATACCACACAGGCTTGCCTCTGACGAAGCAGCAGGTCAAGGAAACAACTTCCCACCTTTTACCTCCACACCCTACAACCCCATCAAAACAACCCAAATCATCCACATAACAGCAGATGCACCTGCCAACCTGTAGCCCGCACCAGAGGTCGACCACACGCGCACATCGTCCACTACAGGCCCACATAGTGAGCTAAGGTCATCCGACCTCGTGTTATAATACACACTATAGAAAGCAACACGCGTACGCTCAGCCTTTGCAGTGAAGGTCAAGTTAGCATCCATGTGTGTCATGTTTCCGGTAGGCGTGTAATGTATACCTCGAGCTTGGTCTGCAGCGAAAGCCATGACTGCAAGGGGCTTCAGGCATGAATCGTTGGCTTGGCCCATTGAGAAGGCGAGCATGTATGACCTTTCAGGGGTTGTCTCAACCATTTGAGAGATGATGCCTTCTTTGCCTGAGAGGAGTTCAATGGCTCGTTTGCCTTGAGGGACTGCAAAGTGGGTGGAGTCTATGTATCGAACAGCGCGATTTGATTCGATGATCCAACCGGGGAGTGGGGAGCTCTCCTCATCGAGGTTGGTCGGAAGAAGCACACCTAGGGACTCGTTACGGAACATCCAGGGGCCCTCCTCAAAATCGCCATTCACAACCACATTGTCTGTGAAAGAGGAAATTTGAGCCAGAGAGTAAAATTGTAATATAATTAGCAAAATTTTGTATAAAATGGTGAGACATTGGCAAATACAGTTAGCATTGTTAGCTATAAAATGGTGAGACAATGTGAATATGGAAACGCTCAATTGAAGTATACCATTGGCCCGTGGACAAATGAGAGACTTTATAGGGTCATCACCATCCAAAAATATTCAATCGTATAAGATGACAGGAATCGACTTAAGGTATAAGTTGTCAGCGTGGTGAGTGCCACAACATGACATTTAGAGTTTCATTTCTACCATACACTTATCTAACCTTAAAATAAAAAATAAAAAAAAACAAAAAAACAAAAAAAAAGCATAAGATGACCCAATCATGAAATCCTCACGTTGATTGGACGGCGATGAGCAATTAGGCTCTGGTTTTTCCTACACATACACCATACTGTCCCAAAAGGCTCCTACTCCTTTCTATCAATTTTTACACTACCAAGAGTTAGAACTAGCCTTTCAAAACCTGGATTCGTGAGGTGGATTGTCCATCCACCGATCCCTTGTTGGATCGCCGATCCATATCAGCTTGGATTGAAGATCTAAGAAAAGAAAAAGAAAAAAAAGGAAGCTATATATATTATTCAGATCGTATATTAAAAGGACATCAATTTGAACATGTTAGTAATAGACCTCGCAGCTACTCGCATTTGAACCGCATTCTTTACATTTATATATATAT